GGCCTGTTACAAAGCACAGGACAGTACATGAATGTCAAGCAAAAGAATGACGGCCAGTCAAATTATCAATTGTACACTACAGTTTCTCTGACATTTTGACTGGTCACCTGTTTTTATCCAAGTATTTTAAATAGCTGACTAACCAGCTACGTATGAAATTGCTCCCACGTTAGAGATCAGGTAAGTTTATGGCGGTACCGTATTTATGTGCACGTTGGAGTAGCATGTGTTGGACAGGGTACCAGTCGTTGAGCAGTGAGCAGTGTTGCTAAGCTACATTACACTGTAGATTTCAGAGGCATTTATGAAAGTTGAGCCCATTGAAATGGTTACACTCTACATGTTGTTCATCAATTCTACTCATTCACCAAATGTATCAAGTAACAACCCCCCACCCTTTTCCCTCGCTACCCACGCCAAAGGACGGCACTTCTGCTGTCTTTCTCCCTTTTTTCTTAATAGATCTTCCCCGCCCTTGTAATTTAACGCTCCTGAGAGAGAGGGGGGGGGAGCATGCTCCTGCAGTGTAGTTGTACGATCAATACAAGTCTGCGTCTGAGTACTGACCCCGTTGTCGCTTGGCCGGCGAGACTTTTGTTGGATGGAAGGAGTCGCATGTCTCCTGCAGCTAGCAATTAAAGTAACACTACGCCAGTTTGTGTATGTGTGTGTGGGGGGGTGGATATTGCCAGGATCTATATTTAGATGGTTCCACAGCATTAAAGAGGCTGTGGAAGACGACATAGAGCAAGGATGTTGCGTTTGCTGCAGTTATGCAATTATAAGAAAAATCTTGTCAGAGGTGAAGAGAAATGCTCTCTAGAAAATTCCATATGACTGTTCTACCCGTGATCGGAACATACGTCAGGTGCCTGGAAGAAGGTTGTAAGCACTTACGAACCTTTTACCGGGAAGCATAATCGCTGCAAAAAAACATATGTATGCAACTGTTTTATTTGAATGAAACGTAAAGATTTCTTTGCAAATAGTTACAGAAAAATTTCTGAAGTCGTTTTGTACCGGTGAGTTGTTCAAAGGTTGTTTTTTTTGCACAGCCTGTGTTGATTTTGTAATAAATTTCATCCGTTTTTACTAAATAAAGAGAGTGTGTTTCTTATGCCCCTTACCAGGAACATTTTGTCGATTGTGATCACGCTTCCGGGCAAAAGGGTGTAAGCGCGTTTATGACCTTTTGCCCGGCGCACGACGATATGTGAATTGACAATACATTTAGGCCTTCAACGCAAACCTTGTCAGCTTGGTAACCAGCCGTATAGCGCATTTATAGTGTACTTACTCATTTTGGTACATTGAGTTGGCAATTACACCGCAAGTCATGCTTTTTTTTTAACAATACATTGTTGAGGGTTTTCTGAGAAAAATTGACGATGTTACAACTGTGAATGTCAATATAGACAGTAAATAGCGCCCTCGTTTGATTCTCAGAATCTGAGAACCCAAACTGGAGCACTCGGCGCTTTTTTTTTTGGCTCGTAAAGGAAGAGGACCCTGCCCCAGATGTGCATGCTTCCACTTTGATTAGATTATTATGCCTGTGCCCGCCTGAAGGCAACCTGGGGAGGTTGCTTATTTGCCTGTCATAAAAAGAGGAAAATGTCTCTACTTGTGACTCGCCGCCGAGATTGGGTCTTGCGATGGGCTCCGGTATCGCCCATTAGGGCTTTCTGCTACACACACACATGTGTGCACCTTGGTGCTGCCACTTGGGTAAACGCACTTTAGGAAGTGTTGTAACCTTCCAAGAGGACAGGTAAACTCCCTCTCTGGCTGCGATTCGGTTCAGTTTGCAGTCCACTGTGGCAGACATTAGGGTGGTGAGCGCAGCATTGCCACTGGGCAAATTATCAATTTGAGAGTAATTTTATGCCTCTGCCAATTTGTCAGGGCAGGTAATAAAAGTTGTGTAGTAAAATGCACCGGGCGATATTCGCTCAGTTGTACTCTGCCTTCCGATAATGTGCAGACATCTGCGACTTGTGTGTTTGATGGAATATTATGGATAGATACATACACGAACCTTACACATTCTTCTGACTTGACGTACAAGTACATGTAGATGGTAGGGAGAGACTTCAAAATGATAAATGGATATAATCAAAATTACAAAGATTTAAAAAGGCACCCTATTGAAAAAGTGTTCAGACATGCCTCAAAGAAACACAGAGCTTTTGAGTTTAAATCGCCCATGGAAGATAAACAAGTTCAAGATTGGAAACAATAAACACGGTCCATTTATTGCCACTGATGTTACGAATCATCTCATGAATTTGTAGAATGGACAATTTGTCACATGTTCTGTGTTTGCTGCGACAAAAGCGATTAAAAAAAACTTAAAGGAGTTGTGCGTAGCATAGTAATCTGTTTAAGATTGACATGCACGTGCTGCTCAGTGAATACGGCACCACATATTTCAAGGAAAATACAAAATAATATTTTTCGGTCCCATAACTCAACTCGGGAGTTGCCTCCTTGTATGTGTCAACCCAATGAACTGCCAATGCAACTTTGGATTGAAGATCATGTATGTGGTTTCTCGCAAAATCACCTGTTTCTTCCCCGTATTGTGGCTCACAGTGGAATGACAATGTGCCGTGTTAAAATCGATGATTTCAAATGGATCTCATTTAGTAAGCCATGAAGAGAACATAAACGTAAAACAAACAGCGAAAGAAATCTAGAAACTGACCCTAGTCTAGTCATATATATTGTACATGCATCAACATCGTTGTATGAGACCTGTATTGTGTGCATTTTCCAGGAAAGCAGGCATCAAATTCCAATTTGTATGTCATTAAGCAAGATTTATAATACTTGCATGGTAGATGAGACGGTGTTATATGAACAACAGTGTAATTTCCGGTGCTGGCCAGAGAACAAAGGACGTGGCATCGGACTTGCCTGCACACATTAAAAATGCAGTACATGTTTATCCCGCTGCTAAGGGACTGTATCTCATAGATGTACTTTACAGTGTGTGTGCAAAGCAGCGCACCACAAAGAAAAGGTGCGTACTGTACAAGTAGTTTTCAGTGGTGTCTCCTGCCACGAAAAACAATAAAAATGCAACAGCTTTGCTGGTGTTGATACACCTTTCACAGCATTAACTTTTCGTTAAGAATCCATTTTTAAACCTTTTAAAAATACTTGGCATGGGCAGAATGCATGCACTTTGTCACGTATACAGGATTGTTTTTTGTGAGAACAGGTTTATTAGACTTGACATAGTACGCAAAAAAAGAGGGAAGATTCAGGTTTGTTGATTTATATACACATGTGAACATTTTTTGTACAGGATAGATAATGTACCAGTATATTTAGTTTCAAAAGGCTATAACATACATGTACATTGTACTGGAAACAGTGTAGATAGCTCTCGAATTGCCTGCTATACGTTCATGTATGAGTGGCCAAAGTTTACCCAAATTTCACCCTTTGTTTGTGTCAGATTTACCCTTAGGAATGAGCCCTGTTTTCCTGTGGTATGTAGCTGTACAGCTCAGTATTTGGTCGTAACTGTGTGAGCTTTTTGGTGAATTATTCAGTTGCTTTTATACTGACTGCTAGCTGTAGTTTCACCAGCCGGCGGTTGGCAAAGAGACGTGGGGCTGTGATGCAGAAAGAGTAGACCCTATAAGTTAACAGGTCTATGAAATGATCGGTGTACTGTCTGGGCATGTCACCACGCATTGGAGCTGCCCGTTAATGCTCGTATTTTTATGGCTTTTCTCCAGTCTCATTGGCATTTTGGTGATCACTGGATCCTTCCAATCCCTGGGCTTAATTGCTGCTTTTGTGCGACAAGCTTGGGTGCTTTTAATCATGTTGGAAACACAATGAGGAGGGACCCGTGCTGGCCAGGAACGAGTAATTGATGACATCTCTCATAATCTGCCTGGGCAAATTAGTTTCATGGAACGTTATTTCATTCCTTTTGCTGATGGATGAAGCGTTCAAAGTCTGTAAAATAAAACGGGTGGAATATGGACTACTGTAAGATAAAAACAGTAAACTCCAATGTATTCCACTGTGCTTTTTATTAAGCTGTCTTTAGTCATTAACATTATAAAAAAAATTATATAGCTGACTATACAATTTTTTGAAATTTAAATGAAAGATTGTAGATACGTATGGGCACTGTCTTTTTATATTAGTTTAGTCTTTTATCACATTGCATATTAGTTCGCAAGGAATAGTGTGTTGAATTTACGCTGAAGATTGAGAGCAAAACAAAAGTAAAAAACACAAATCTCTGTACGGTATTTAAATTATTCTTAGACAGAATAAATGCTCAACAATGTGAGTAGATGCAGTCAAATATGCAGCAAGGGAATTTAATCATGGAAACACGAGTGTCTGTTTATTTCTGCAATTTACCATAGCTACGTTTGTGTATTGAATTTGAGGTCACTCTCCTTAATTCTGATAGAGGGCGCTATTTCAATATTGCAGTCTCCCTGTGGTCTGCTTTTTAATGGATAGTGCTTTTTTTAGAGTTTGAAATGTGTGTGTGCATTTACGTGTATTCTGTCAGAAAAAAAGCACACTTCACAAGTAATACAGAATTTTAAAATTTGCTGAAGGGGAATATGCATTCTACAATGCTGTCATTTCCACCATTCAATTCATGTCAAATCCCTCCTGTCAATGTATTAGTGTATGCTACTTTAACAAATTAAATTGGAGATGGCAGAAAATTGTTTGGATAATACCCATACCTCTCCTTGATTCCAGTTCTCAAAGGACTCTTTAGCCCTGTGGATAGTCGGTAATGTGTTAGGCTGGTTGGCACTAATTGTCTGCTACCCAGATTATTTCCCTTTGTGTGCGGCTGGCCTTGTAGCCCAGGTTGTGCTTTGTGGACGGGTCCCTGCTGTTGTTGTCAAAAGGCACAAGAAAAATATGAACCCAGCCAAGAGCTCGGGTGTTAAAAAAACCCGGAGAGAGGAGATTAATAAAAAAAAAAAAAAGAGCTGGTTGAATGTGCTCACAAGCCAGTGAATGGACTGACAGGGTTAGGCTAGGCTGTGCACACGACAGACAGACCGGGCAAACACTGAGATGACCCTGGGTGGATTAAAGTCTCCCTCAGCTTGGCATTTCACTCTGTTGTCATCCACTGTGACTGCAGGGAAAAAAACCACTCTCCACTGTTTGCCGTTCAGATCTGGAGGAGAAAAAGGAAGAGCTAGAGCAAAGATGACATGAAAGGAGTAATACCTTCTCAAAGGGACTTGTGTATGTTCCTGTTACGCAACCTGGTTTGGGGATATTATCATATTTTTCTCCCCTCTCTTCTACTGGAATAGTGGGGGGGAGTTTGCTCATGTACTCAGCGGATACAACCCGGAGACGAGGCCTTGGGTTCCACTCCAGTGATTCCTTTATGAGTTCGTGGTGGGGTTGACCCTCGACTGAATAGCGACGCGGTTTATTGAGCAAACAGCGAGGCCGGGTCCGCAGCACCAAGCCACTAGCGATTGTGTGTATTCACCCACTTCATTCATAGCTGGAGATGCAGTAGACGTGGTCTGTTAGAATTCCATTCTTTCCTCTCTTCACCGGTTTTTCTTTTTTGTTCACGGGTGAAGACTCGCAGACAGGGACTACCGTATTCAGCAGTTGCCCTAAAAGTTGCGTATGTGTACTCATCCCTTTTCATTTGCAACTAATTTTTGTGTGTGTGTCCTCCGAGTCGTGACACATCGAGTCGGGAATCCCGACACTTCTGGGATTTTTTTTTTCCCCGTGTGTGGTCACGCTGCCAACTAAAATCCCTGTGTCTGGAACATCCAGTGATTGTGGTATCGTACTCAACTGGCAACCAGCCCCAGCTAGCTTGGTTCTGTGCACTGGGGATTGATTCTACCTAAGCTATACCTATGTACTTTGTCGATCCGTACGCCAGTGGCGAGATGATTCTAGCACCCAGTGGGGCACCATATGGGACTGTGCCCGTTGTGGCGGTACCCCAAAGCCACCCCACCGCTAGTTACGTGTACAGCTCATCGAGTAGAAAACGAGGCCTGGTAAGGATGCACATGTACTTGTATAGTTACATGTAGGGGTTGTTACGTTCATTCATACGTATTTTGCATGAAATGCTGCTGGTAGACGGTGTTTCATATCCAACAGTACTATAATACGTAACATGATGTACATGTGATTTTGTTTTGTTTTCTGCTTTTGCCTATGTGTTCAAAGAAGTGTAAAATTCATGTACAAGTGTTCGTTTGTCTTAATTTTGGAGCAGCCTGTGAAGCACTTTTGTGAATATTGTGCGCACCTTTTTTTTTTCCTGCCACATAAAATTGCAATCTCAAGTCTGCTTCTTGTGTGAAATGAAATAACATAAAATTCTCAGCAATTTGATTCTGGGTACCAGACCAATTCTTAACTAATGTTTATTGTTACATGTACCAGTAGTTATTTTTCCAACACATTGTTAGAACCAGCTTCCTATTGCTGAATGTGTTTCATTATATTTCCACATGCACATGTACGTGGGAAAGAGTGTCTTACACAGATATCACTTGACACCTTGTGCACAAGCCTCATGTGACTGGTCTGAAAATATTGAAGCGATAACTTAGGTTTTACTAAGTAAGCGCTTCAATCTTTTCCCTGCTAAATGTGACTTTTTAGGGCATGTTGCCACTTTCTGATAGCTTGCTTGCAAAGGAAAATAAGCCGATGTCTGTATATGGGTCATTCCTCGGGGTTGGGGCACAATTTGTGTGGTGTCCTTGTCACATGGGTGACTTTTACCATGGAGGTAGAATCACTCTACCTCCATGCTTTTACCACCCGTCATGACCAGTAGAGTAGGTCATTTACTCGGTAAAAGTAACACACACCTCTGTATTCAGCCTTGCAAGATGTATACTTTGGAATCCACATGCAGGGAAATAGCTGTTCATTTTTACAGGAACCCACGCAATGGACACCCACGTAAAGGACACCTGTCACAAATTGTGCCCCAACCTCATGGAATGACCAACATGGAACTCTCACCTGTAATGTGTCTGTCATATGCTCCACTTTGATCATCTTTAGATGTGTTTTTGAGAGGGTTCTCCATTTGTTTGAATTGCAGCATATTTAAAAGTGGCACTGCAATCGGATTGTAGGGTGCCGTTTCTTGATAAAACACAGTGATAAGGTTTCCTAAATGCTGCCTATGATGTTGATCATGTTTGGATGTGTGCGTGCTTGGAAGAGATTTCCAGCCTAACAGCAACTAACACGTACGCCCTCCGTTTGGCCTTTGGCACAAGTGCAATCTCCCTTCGGGGATACTTCCTGTTTCTATAGTGGAAAACTAAGTTACAGTGTACACGCACATCAGTTATATTATAGGGGGGGCATGTAGGGAAAATATAGGTCAGTGTACAGATTTTCAAATTGCAGGTCCCGGTACATGTACATTTTCTTTTTATGTTTTTCATATACTTGCACATGTACTTAAACATAACCCTCCTCCAAAATCCTTTGGCCGGTTTTGGAGGATTTGGGAAGATTGAGGGTGAATGGCAAAACTGCGTGGCTGCTTGCTAAGGATGCCAAGAGTGAAGGTTGTGGGTTAGACCTTGTGTTCTTGCCCGTTCGTGTACAAATTCAGCCCGATATTTCTTTTGAATCAACCGCACTGCTCAAGAATGCCATTCGCACTGCCTCAGCATAATGACAGGAATTGCCGGAGGTTTTTGAAGGATTGAGGCAGTAGCCACACCTCCAAGTAACATTTTCAAGAAATTTTGGAGGATTGAGGGAGAATCCAATTTTTTTTCACCTCCCAAATTGGAGGATTCTGGAGGATTGAGGAGGGTCCCTGGCCTAAAGGGCCCAGGGAGTTAGGGTTAAGGCTAGGTTTTTTTGCAAACTGTCTCTAAAGTGGTTGAATTTATGCATAAAAACATATGTGGTGTTGGGTTGCTGGGAGGTGTACGTGTACATGTACATGTATTCCCTTTTCCTTTGTACTTGTGAATATATGAGGCTGTTTGGCCACAGCTGAGCTTTTTTTGGGTATGGGGGAAGCCTTGGACTCAATTACTACCAGATGGTTTGATTTGTTGGTCTACAGAGTTGCTGTCTGTTGATGGAGTTGGATCCAGGATTTTAATGGGGTTTTGTATCAGAGTTTGTAAACAGATGCACACATGTGTGATGTTTAGAATTTGGAAAAATACAGGCACGTACATGTACATGCGTGCATGCATAAGCAGCGTCTAAAATTTCTAAATCTGCTGTGTGTGTTCTTGGCTGTGAATTTTAATGACACATGATTCCATTGGGAAAAGAGAAGGTGGAAATTGCTGGCCGGCAGCTGCCGGTTTCCAGCCACAACTGCATTCACGCACAGCCACATGGTGCAGTTTTTGGAATGGACGTGATCAACTTGCTTGCTGTGTAAAAGAAAGTGATGTGGATGACCAGACTATTTATAGCACTCTTTTGTTGTTAATTGCTTGTCATGGGATTTTGCTGAAAGAATGCTTTAGTTTTAATTTTGAGGCCAAAACTGCCCATTCCTTTCACTGCTTTTTTTTTTTTCCTTTCTACTTTTGGTTCAGGGTTTTGTGCTTTCAGTTATTTATTATTTTATCCCCTAGTTTAGATTAATACTTTAGAGTGATAAATATGTACTGGCATGTTTGAAAGGTCATCGGATATGGTTGTTTCACATGGTGTTTTGTGTACGGAATTGATTTCTAGTGCAACTTAAGACATGCTGTTCACTTACATTGGCACCCTTTCCGTTGGCAAAGTTGTTTCTTTTGAGGGGATTTGTTTTCATCCCTGCCTAACTCCTGGTTCGCATGTTTTGGCTCTGGGAAACTTGGGTCAAACCTTGGAGCACCAACCTAAATAGGAATTCCTTAGCAGTCCCCGTGTATGTTTTGGTTGTGTGTGTGTGTTTTTGATGAACTTCTGGACCTGGAGAATGTTGAAGCTATTAGACCCAATGTATAGGATTTCCCTGGCCAGAGACTATTTAAAGGCTTGAGGATACTGTCCCATGCTTTCAGCTTTTCCCTGGTAACTTGAGTACCACTTGGTGTCTGAACACTGGCCGGTATCCAGGGCAGTACCAGAGGTCTGGGCAACAAATTCCCTGGCGCCCATTGTTTGGATCTGGGTTAAGCTCGTGTTAGGTTCACCTCGCGGAACATCAATGTTGTTTTTTGAGCCAACCCAAGTCTTCTGTTTGGAAATAGCGTGCTTGCTTGATTCAGTTGCTGTTTACTGAACAAGTCTGCCTCAAAAAAAGGTGTTTACATCCTGTGACTAACACACCCAAAAGTGTTTATCAGTAAGGCAAATTTCAATTTTACACCTCATACAAGCAGGTACATGTACCGGTACAGACGCAGGCTTGCATACACGTTACTGTTCGTGTTTGAAAGCACATAAGTTTGAAAATGGCAAAATTTGAGAGGTCGCCATCATGTTAGTGAACCCACCTGCAACCGACTCTATCACGTGGCTGCATTGTAGTACAAAATTTCCAAAGCCATTTTTTTTAGCCTAACTTGCAGTCCACAGAAACTAAACAGCCATGCACTGATAAAACTGCACATAAAAGTTGTGACCTATCAATGATTAACCAGGTGGCACCGATTTTGAAAGTCATCTTGTAAATTTATTCGCCAACCATAAAGAGTATTAATACAGCGGACTTATTGCACTGTGCACGTAAATAAACCCAAAACGCCCACTGTCCTGGATTGTCACTCCTCCCCCCCCATAAAAAGGTTTTCACAGTGCTTTGATTGTTATCGATTTGCCATTCAGCTTTTTTTCCCCCCCCTTTTCTCATCCCCTATTGAGACGCAGTCAGCCCCGTAATGATACTGTTTTGGGTTCACCTTGAACTTCTTGTTCCCGTCTCTCTGGTGCGTTAGAGGTGGCAAACAATGGCTGTAGATGGAAGCAGTCTCGGGGGGAAAATATTATTGACAAAGTGTTCACTCTGGAGGATTTGATTAGGAGAGGAAAATGGCGTCTCTGAAAGGTTTGGGGGGGGGACTGACTGTATGAAGACCTTCAGTTATGATTCATGCACATGTACATGTGGGTTATTCGAGCCAGCAATGTCAACTCCCGAGTACGAATTTTGGCATCTTTGCCAGTCCTGTGATGGCGACAGCCAGCGCACTGTCCACAAAGTGACTTTCAGCCATCAGGTCTCTTTTATGTGCAGACAACCAGACATGTACGTTGTACATGTAGCTCCGCTTTCTTACCGGTACCTCTACCTTGTCGGACAGTCTCCTCGTGTAGGACTAAGATTAGAATTTGTTCGCATTATTCTAACTGCATTCCCATATGGAGCCTTTGGAATATGCATTAGTGGACTAGATTCTTGATTACAAAGGCAAATGTAGCCCGTGCTAATGACAGGCACGATGAAATAAGAAGGGAATAAATATGTGCTTGGCTGGTCTTAAACGTGCATTGAAGACCGGCTCAGGAGAATGGACATGACTCAAGCCGCAGGCCAGGGCATTATCAGCGTTTGTTCTGCTGAGCAAAAAAGCACATCTTTATTTCCATTCATAAATACCGGTACCAGTCAAAAGAAGTCAACATGTGATGGATTTCCAACGATTTTATTGTAAATGTTACTTTCGTTTTCCCCTACACCCCTGTCCGATTTATGGTATGTTCCTTTTAAAAGTTGTCCAATAGAATCCTCTTAATGAACTTGGTGCGCGCATGGCGCGTTGATCACGCATCGCGTGCACACAGACTCCTGACCAATCAGACCCGATTAAACTGTCTCAGCGCGTGATTCACGCAGCGGGCATTATCAAATGTTAATGCACAGTCACATGACGTGTTTCGACCAATAGGAATAGAAAAACTTGACCAGGTATTTGTGAAGGTTGGATAAGGTCTTACCGACAGTCCTGAACAGAATTTCATGTTTTATACCAGCACTTCCTTATAATAATTGACGCAGTCCAATATTTTTTCATATCAGTCTGTTGTTTGTTATCTTTGACCTTGTACTAGTTGTACA